TGTGTGTGTGTGTGTGTGTGTGTGTGTGTGTGTGTGTGTGTGTGTGTTTGTGTGTGGTATTTTGCCTGTGTGTCGATGCACCACATACATGTAGTGCCTCTAGTAGCCAGCAGAGGGCATTAGACTCTGTGGCACTAGAGTTACAGCCGATTGCGAGCCACTGTATGGGAATCAAACTCAGGCCTTCTGGAAGAACAGCAAGTGCATTTAACTGCTGAGCCATCTCTCCAACCTCGGCTGGACAGTAGTGTCACACACTTTTAATCCCAGCACTTAGAAGGCAGAGGCAGGTGGGACTCTGAGTTCAAGGCCAGCCTGATCGACAGAGGGAGTCCCAGCACAGATGGCAGCTCACAACTGTCTGTAACTCTGGTTCAGAGGCTCCGATGGCCTCATGTGGCCTCCATGGAATTGAACACATGTGCTGCACAGACTTTCATGCAGGGGAAACACCCATACACATTTTTAAAATATTAAAAAAATTTTTTAATTAAAAGAAGATGGGTATGGTGGTGTATGCCTTTAATCCTAGATGACAGAGGCAGGAAGATTGCTGTTGAGTTCAAGACCAGTCTGGTCCACATAGAAAATTCCACACTAGCACGGTACATAGTTGGGCTCTGACTTCCCTTCCTCCCCCGACCAAAAAAAAAAAAAAAAAAAAAAAAAAAAAAGTTAGACCAATTGTCGTGGGGCTGGGGACATAGCTCAGCAGTACAGCACAAATTCGAGACAGGGATCTACATAGTGAGTTCCTGGCCTTGAACTCACAGAGGTCTGCTGGCCTCTGCCTCTCAAGTGCTGGGATTAAATGCCTGTGCTACCACGCCTGGCAAGACAGGGAGGGTCTCCTGCTGAATCTAGAGCTCACCGATTGGCTAGCCTAGCTGGCCAGAGAGGCCCAGGGACCCTCCTTTCTCTGCCTCCCAGTGCTGGGATTCCAATCCAGGTCCTCAGCTTACACAGCAAATACTTCACACACTGATCATATCCTTGGCCCCATACACCGGTTTATTGTATTTACCGATCAGGCAAAGACCACATGGCACAAGTTTCTGTGACCCCCCTGGCTTAACCAGCACGAAGATTGACAATAATGACTAAGCCATGTGGTAGTGGCACAGGGCTTTAGTCCCAACCCTCAGGAGGGCAGAGGCAGGTGGATCTCTGTGTGTTCAAGGCCAGCCTGGGCTACAGAGTGAGTTTCAGGACAGCCAGAGCTACACAGAGAGACCTGTCTTGAAAAAAAACCAACCAAATAAACAAACAAGATAATAATGACTACTTAATACTGGTATTATTATTACTGGTGCTTTGAGAGTGGGCTTCATGTCTTCTAAGCTATCCTCAAACTGCCTATGTAGCTGAGGATGACCCTATTTTCCCATCTCAAGCTTCTACCTAGCCTAGTCCAGCCTGGAATTCACCATCCTCCTGGCTCAGCCTCCCGGGCTCTGGGAATCCACGAGCATGGCTCTGGGCTACATTCAAACTGCATTTCAAAGTGAGGAAAAGGAGGCTTTCAGGGGGTGGTGACTTGCCCGACTGCCTGGACAAGGCCCCTGAAATTCTGGGCTGCAGACCAGCTATCCAGCCAGCCCAAGGAGGAGGGGCGGGGCTTCACTCACCTGCACGTGTTTCTTATTGAGCGTCAGAGTCATGATGTCGTTGCCGCACTTGGGCTGGATGAGGGACATGAGTAGCCCAGGGCTGCACCGGTCCTTGGGAGGTGTGGTCAGAACTGGTGCAGGCGAGGTCTGGAGCACACCACCTGTGGGGGAGATGGAGCGGACAGTCGCCGAGTGCTCACTACAGGCTGACTTCTCAGTGTCCTCAAGGCCGGTAAGGTTCAGAGAAACCGGCTAAGCTCAAAGAACAGTGTGGCAAGTGATCAGAGGGGAGCAACAGAACAGAGGACGGGGGGGGGGGGGTGCAGGGCTGGGGCTCACCGCAGCTAGAGGCCCTCAATGAGACGCCACTGGCCACAGACGTCACCTCCACAAAGGAGGCTACAGTGCTGGCGTTGAGCTTGCGGGCCTCTCCTATCAGGCCTTGGGGTGTGTCTGGGAGCAGAAAGCCTTTGATGTTCTTTTCTGGAAAGATCTTAATGGAGTATTCACCTGTAGTCTGAAGGCAGAAAAAAGAGGGAGAGAGAGAGCAGGAGTCATCAGCTATGGTGACTCCTGCCCTTGGCCCCTGCCTTGCTGCCTTCCCCCTCCTCCCCTTCATTTCCCTTTGTCCTCTAACCCAGTTCAGAGTTCATATCTCCAGGGATCTTCCTTGACCCAGAAGGCTAAGTTAAGGGACTCCCTGGCCCATCAGGAAAAGCTTCCCGGTGGAAGTGGCCTCTCTGAGTTAACAAGAAAAACAGGTAGTAGACAGAGGTAGAAAGTTGGGGTGGAATAGCCAGTGTGCAAGGTCTCAGGCTGGGGTTGTTGTGCAAGGCTCACCCAGATCTGCATGTTGTGGTTGGTATCGATGAGCCAGGATACATACTGAGGGCCCTGCAGGATGAGAACGGCGTCGGGATCGCCGGACGGACAACTCAGTTCCACCTTTACGGTCACTGTCCGGGGCCTGCAGCAGGCAAAGGACTGGTCAGGGCGGCTAGCTTGTAGGCTTGGGTATGGGGACAGGCTTGGTGTGTTAGTCTGAATGAGATGTCATCTATAAGTCCCGAGCACTTGAATACTTGGTCCCAGTTGATGATATTGCTTGGGAAGGCTTTGGAGGTGGGCCTCGCTGGAGGGTGGGGGGCACGAGGGAGAGATGGGCCTTGTGTGTGCTCTCTGCCTCTTGTTTACAGTTCAGGAGGTTCAGGAGGTGAGTTCTCAGCTGCTGCTACAGCTGCCCGCCATGCCCTAGGAGGCCCGCTCCATCACCTGGTCCCAGAACCTGGCAGGATGCGCAGGATGTACGCCTCCTTGTGGCCGGTCACACCTTCCAAGCGGCAGCCTTGGACTGGGGTCGGAGGTCGTGGTTGCCAGTCAAGTGTGACGCCCATGTCCTGATGAGCTTCTGCTAGGCAGAAGGGCGGTGCCTTGGGGGCTGTGGAGACAAGCATATCAGAGAGGCCCATTCCACCTTCAGCCAAAGGTCGTTGGGGGGGGCATTGAGGAGAGAGCCTCACAGGTGGGGGGTGAGGGAGGACTTAGCAGCTGAGCGCCTGGCCTTTGTTTCCTTGTGTGTCAACCAAGGCTTAGCATAACTTAGTGAGCCCACGGCACATGTCAAAGGGGTAGCCCCCGCCCCCCTCCCAGCACATCAGCACATGTCGGCTGTCTTCCTTAATTGCTCTCCGTATTAGTTTTTTGAGTCGAGGTCTCTCACTGAACCTGATCACAGATTTGGTTAGACTGGTTGACCAGCAAGCTGCATGGATCCTCCTGTCTCCGTTTCCTCAGATTGGGGATGACATGTGTGTATTCACCATGACAGCTTTTCACCTGGGATCTGGGCGGGGGGGCTCCCAATTTAGGTGCTCATGTGGTAATCATTACCCACTGAGTTCTCTCCCTGGCACTCCCCCTTTAAAATCAAGGTCTTATGTAGCACAGGCTAGCCTTGAACTTGCTATGTCAAAGAGGATGACCACGAATTCCTTATTCTCCTGCCTCCGCCTCCCTGATTACGGGTCTGTGCCACCAAGCTCAGTTTATGTGTTGTTGGAGATGGAATCCAGGGCTCAATGCTATGGAAACACTCCAAGTGGGCCGCATCCCCAGCTGAAAACCTGGCATTTCTCATCAGATATTTGCAGTCACTAACTACAAAGAAGACCATCCAGCCATGGGTGGCTTTGGGCCAATCACGTGCCACTGTGGGCTAGTAGTCCCCAAGTCCAGCGTTTGCTCAGTCTCCTCTGCAATTGAAGCTGAACCAGCTGAGGAAGCTGACCTTGGCCTAGACGGAGGACGACACTTTGGGGGTCGTCCAGTGCTGCCATGGAGGTGATGGCGCTCTTTGCGGCTGCCCAGTCAAGGATCTGTTCCTTGGAGGTGAGGGACGGCAATGGTGTGATGCTGGCCCTTGGCTGCTCTTGGAAGAAGACCAGGCTGGAGTTCTGTGGAGACAGAGTGCTGAGTCATTTCCTACCAGGCAGATCAGGAACCAATTTGGGGAGTCAGCTCAGTTGGTTGGGAGAAAAGAGGTGAGGACCGAGCATAGGAGGGCTTGAAAGTCGTCGGTCAGCCCAGAGGTCCCCAGAACATCTAGCATAGGTATACCGGCTCCATCTCCCTTCTGCATGAGTGCTATACAGAGGTACAGGTTTGTCCATCTGTCCCAGCTCTGCCCTCACCACGAAACACTCATTCAAGTCTTATATAATAGCGCCATTGCAGCTGCTGTCTGTACCCCTCTACGCTCTGGGGGTGTGTGAGGGAAGGCTTGGTGCCCGTCCCCACACAGCACTCAGCACGTTGCGGGCACCGAGTTTTTGCTCACTGGGGAGCTGGTATACCTGCTTCATCCCAGCACTGCCACATGGTAGATACTCCCTATGATGGTGAAGGGAGAAATGGAAGGGGAAAAGAAGAAAGGTATGAAAAATAATAAATGAACGAAAGACAGACGGGGTGGGGTGCCTACTCTGGGAATCTGACCATTCAGAAAGACATCATTATTTGAAGTAATAGAAGGCAGAGGATGTTATTTAGTAAATAATTAAAAAAAAAAAAAAAGGCTGGCCGAGGGCGTGGTGGCACATACCATTTAATCCCAGCACCTGGGAGGCAGAGGCAGGCAGATCTCTGTGAGTTCTAGGATAGCTAGGGCTACACAAAGAAACCCTGTCTTGAAAAACAAAACAAAAAAGCAAGAATGGAGAGATGGTTCAGTGACTAAGAGTCTTGACTGTTCTTTTAGAGGCTCCAGGTTCAAGTCCCATTACAAGGTGGCTCACAACCATCTGTAACTACAGCCCTGGGGGAATCCAACCGTTTTCTGGCCTCCTCATGCACAAGGCACATGTGTGCTACAGACACACAGGCAGACAAAATGCCCAAATGCATAAATTTAAATCAAGTTTAATTTAATAAACAAAAACCAAGACTAGTCTCCTGGCTGGCTGGAGACAGGGAATCTGGGTAGATTCAAACCCTCACTGCCTCCCTTAGGGTCCCTTGGGCTCTGTAGGGCTAAGAAAGGAAATGAAGAAGACGTCCTGGAGGAGGTGGTCCAGAGAGAAGGGTTTAGAGGAAGCAGCTAGGGCCACTGACCCTGAGTTCCTTCAGCTGAAGCAGCAGCAGCAGAAGGAGTTCAGGTTAGACATTAAGGAGGACTGTGTGGCAGTGAGAGGAGGTATTACGGAGCCCACTGCCTGCTGTGCAGGCATTAACCTCAGTAAAACAGGGTTTCAGCAACGACTACAGAGCATGACGGTTGTCAGTCTCCTGGCTTCCTGCCTGACACTACGGCTCTGTGGGTGGTGATCTCCACACAGAAGATTCAAGGCTGTCACTGCGAATGCTCAACCCAAGTGAAAAGATGCACCAAGCTAGAACAGGGCTGCTGCAGAGACTCTCCAGTCAGGGCTGTGTTTCAAGCGACACTTAGGTAGGACCCTGGAACCTGGCTTGCCCCTCTCAGTGATAAGGAGAAGGGCACCGGGAAGGGAAGCTGGACCCTTGCAGTTGGACTTGGCGGGATGATGCCTCCACCATGCTGGTCTACGTGTCCATCTGTGAGAGGGTCACCTCTGCCTCCTTTGGGCCTACCTTCTGGTCCTGTCCCTACCCCCTCTGCCTATACGGTGTCCTGAATTTCTGCATCCACCCACCTCCCTGTCCAGAGTCTTGTTACAGGTCCTATTCATCCCTGGGTGCTCTACATCAGGGCTGTGGAACTCAAGGCCTGGCGGCCTTTTGAATCACAGCCACCTGGACATCAGGCTCTGGCTTGCGGAGAGGGACACCAGGCAGGGGCTTCCCACAGCTGGGTCGGAGTTAGGGGTCACACACTCACGTAGGCCAAGTGCAATGGGATTTCCGGGGCTTGGAACTTCACGAAGACGTTTTTGTTCGAAACAAGGACCAGGAACACCTCTCGGGTCTCGGTGCCATTTTGCTTGGATGCCTCCAGAGTCAGCTCCAGCTGTGACAACGCCTGGGGAAGAGTCAGGGATGTGGGATTATCAGTCAACTCTGCAAGGGTTGGGGCGGGAATGATTGATGTACGGTCATGGGTCATTCCACTGGCCCTACTCAGCTTGACCTACCCTCGGCAGCTACCGTGTGCAAAGTGGCTCCTGAACTCTCACAAGCCTAGAAAACATAACAGGGCTCAGCAAGCACTGCCACCAAGCCTGACAAGCTGAGTTCAATCGCTGGAATCCACCTGGTGGAAGGAAAGTCCTGACTCCTGTGAACTGTCCACTGCCCTCTAGCACGTGCAAGCGTGTGCCACACACAGTAAGCAAATAAGGACAAATTAAACAAGAAGAAAAAAATGAGTAAGTTAAAAAAGAAAGAAGCGCTTTCTAAACTGGCACTCCGAAAGGACGAAGCCATGTTCAGCTTGAGCGCCAAGATAGTGAAGCCGAATGGCGAGAAGCCGGACGAGTTCGAGTCTGGCATCTGTCAGGCACTGCTCGAGCTGGAGATGAACTCGGATCTCAAGGCGCAGCTGCGGGAACTCAACATCACTGCGGCCAAGGAAATTGAAGTTGGTGGTGGTCGGAAAGCTATCATAATTTTTGTACCAGTTCCTCAGCTGAAATCTTTCCAGAAAATCCAAGTCCGGCTAGTTCGGGAGTTGGAGAAGTTCAGCGGGAAGCATGTGGTCTTCATTGCTCAGAAGAGGATTCTGCCCAAGCCAACCCGGAAAAGCCAAACGAAAAATAAGCAGAAGTGCCCCAGAAGCTGCACGACGCCATCCTTGAAGACTTGGTCTTCCCAAGTGAAATTGGGGGTAAGAGAATCCGTGTGAAACTGATGGCAGCTGGCTCATAAAGGTTCATTTAGACAAAGCACAGCAGAACAACGTGGAGCACAAGGTTGAAACCTTCTCTGGTGTGTATAAGAAGCTCACAGGCAAGTATGTTAATTTTGAATTCCCAGAGTTTCAGTTGTAAAGACAATGACTGAATAAAGTGTCATTCATAGCAAAAAAAAAAAAAAAAAAAAAAAAAAAAAAAAGAAGCCATATTGAATGAATGAATGAATGAGATTGGTCCCACCCAACCCAAAAAAGGAAAAACTAACTGCATGCAATATTTAGGATTGCAAGATTGATCCTTCCTTTCTGCCAACACCTCCGTCTCCTGACAGGTTCTTGCTTTGTGCCCGGGCCGGCCTCAAACTCTTTACTCTTTCTACCTATCTCAGTCTCCCCAGGGCTGAAGTCTCAGGTGCATCCCATCACGGCCAATCAGGATGATTTCTATTGAGCGCCCGCTGTAAACTGGGCCTGTAAGTATCTAAAGAATGCCCTATACATGGAAGTCTGATTCCTCTCTCTGGTCTCCCTCCTTCTCTAGCTGTCCCTGGGAGGCCACTCTGACGCCGGCTCACACGAGGCCTCCACAATTGTCCCTAGAGCTCTGCGGTGGCAGAGGGCATGCTCAGGCCCTAGTTCCACCTGCATTTACACATGAGCCCCACGTAAAACAGCCTAAGAGGCAGGTGCCATTAAAACTCTCACAGTTTAGGAAACTGAGTCACAGAGAGGTGAGGTCACTTTCCCGTGATCACATGGAAGGCTGGGAATGTCACACTTCTCTGTCAAGAAGAGTGAGAAGAAAGAAAAGCCAGATCAGAACTATTCGGAGAGGTTTCTGAGCCTGTGGGCTGGGCGGGAGTGGGGAGTGAACAGGAGAGAAGGGCGCCTGGCCGGGCTCAGTGCCTTAGAAGCCTCGAGGTGCCTCAGAGAACAAAGACAAATGGAAATCTTTCCAGACAGTCTCTGGCGGTTCCTGCCAGCAACGCGCAGCCGGACAGCTGTTTCCAAAGCCTCTCCTCCATTAGAAAGCAGAGCACTGGCTTACACAGAGACATCAGTGGAAAGTTTTAGGGTCTGGCTTCTAATCGTCTCCCTGTTGTTTCCAGACTGATGTCACGAAGCCAGAGACAAGCATTTCAGCCCCTGGAAAAATCTGCTCAGAAATATTTCCGCTGCTCAGTAATGACCCTGTTAATCACTCTTTGTGCTCAAGCTTACTCTTTAAAACAACAAGAGGAAAGAGCAAATAATATCACTTTGTTTTCAATGTGTGACGAATGGCTTTTGTCATGTCAGTGTTCTCTTTCGGTTACTATCCTTATTTTAATTATTGTTGAGCATCATTAGTACTTTGTTTTATGTTATGTGTGTTTTGCCTGTATGCATGTTTGTGGCTCATGCGCGTGCCTAGTGCTGGTGGAGGACAAAAGAAGGCATCAGATTCCCCAGAACTGGAATTATGGGCAGTCACGACCTAGGAATTGAACCTGGGTCCTCCAGAAGAGCAGCTGGTGCCCGGAACCACTGAGCCAGCCACCTCCCCAGCCCCTTTATTTCAGTTCTTCTTGCTGTGTGTGCGGTGTGTGCATATACATGGACTCCCTTGCCTGTGTGTGCACACGTGGAGGCCACAGTTCCATTCTGGGTATGTTTCTCTGCCATTTTCTGCTTCTGTTTTTGCGTGAGGGTCTCTCACTAACCCTGGCACTTGCAATTTTTGCTAGACCAGAAACTCAGCTGTCTCCTCCTCCCCAGCGCTGGGATTACAGGGGACAGAGCTGGTCCACGCCCAGCTTTTACCTGGGTGTGGGGTCCTCACACTTGCACAGCACTGAGCTGTTGCCCCAGCCCTAGGCTATTTTTTTTCTTTCCTTCTTTATTTTAAAAAATTATTTTATTTATTATGTATACAAAATTCCATCTGCAGGCCAGAAGAAGACACTAGGTCTTATTATAGATGGCTGTGAGCCACCATGTGGTTGCTGGGAATTGAACTCAGGACCTCTGGAAGAGCAGCCAGTGCTCTTAACCTCTGAGCCATCTCCCCAGACCCTTTCTTTATTTTGTTTAACTTGTGTGGGAGCAGGCTTGCACATTCGTGGGTGTGCATGCACATGTGAAGGTCAGAGGCCACCTTTAGGGAGTCAATTCTCTCCTTCTACTAGGTGGACTTAGGGCTCAAACTCAGGTCATCAGGCCTGGTGGCAAGGGCCTCTGTCCACTAAGCCATCTTGAGAGTCCCTAGGTCATTATTCTCAAATAAGTATTCTCACAGTAACTTATTGTATAATGAAAAGATGCATTTCAAATGTGTGGAAATAATAATAACAGACAAACAAATACATAAATTGCGATGTTAGGGAGCAAACCCAGTCTCGTGCATGCTTGGCAAACATTCTACCATTCAGCTGACTCTCCAGCCAACATTAATGTTTGCTAATAAGTTTTGAATTTGATTCCATAAGTCTCTTGTTTCATTAATCACGTGCCACCAGGCATGGTGGCACATGTCTTTAATCCCAGCACTCAGGGAGACAGAGGTAGGAGGATCGCTGTGAGTTTGAGGTCAGCCTGGTCTACAAAATCAAGTCCAGGACAGCCAAGGGCTACACAGAGAAACCCTGTCTCAAAAAACAAAACAAAACAACAAAAAAAAATTATGCATTTCAAGCTGGGTGTGGTACTATGTCCACCCAGCACTCAGGAGGCAGAGATAGGCAGCTCTCTGTGAGTTCGGGCCAGCCTGGGGTACATAGTGAGTGTTAGGACAGTCAAGGCTACATAGTGAGACCCTGTCTCAAAAAAAGAAAAAAAAAAAAAAGAGACTCTCTTTCTTTCTCTCTCTATACACACACACACACACACAATATTTCAACCACTAAAATCAAATGCTGGAGGCTGGAAAGATGGCTTGGCACTTAAGAGTTCTTATGGCTATTCCCGAGAACCTCAGTTCGATTCCCAGTACCTACATCAGGCAGCTTACAACTGCCTAACTCCATCCATTTCCAGGGAATTTGCTACCTGTGGCCTCCGTGGGAGCCTGAACTCATGTGTACATGTCCACACACAGAGATATACATAACATATACGTGTGTGTATATACAATATATATATATATACATAATATATGTGGATTTTACCTCAGCAAGGCAGTTATGTGCCTGGGATGTATTGCTATTCAGTGGAATTCATGCTACACTCTGTACTGGGCACACAGCGTATGCAGGCTGACCAAAGCAGGCACAGGGAATCCCCAGCTTACAGATGTGGAAATGGAGGCCCTAGGATGGAAGTCAATAGATGGAGTCAATAGCCCAGAGCACATGAGCTTAGGCTTTAGCGGAGCCCACAGCACCTGGCCACCCAGTAGTCTGTCTCCCTGTAACCCAGACTGCCACCAGCTCTACCCATGCTTCTCTGGAGAGAAGGCTTCAACACCCCCACATAGCGAACAGGCAGGCTCAGCAGTTTGGCAGACGATACCTAGAGACAGAAGCAGACAAGGAGGTGAGGCCACGCCATCCTGGGAGGGTGCCTGTGGCTGCAGCAGCTGGAACTGTGAGCAGGAGGTAAGTACCTTGAAGCTACCTGACCATTCCTCCTCTCCCTTGGTGCCTCCCTTTCCTCATCTGTGAAATGGGAGCAGGAAGGGGTGGAAGCCGAGATCAGGAGAGTCTATGCATAGAGGAAGTGACGAAAAGAAAGCAGAGGTCAGAGCACGGTAATGTTACAGGGGACCACAGGTCAGAAGGCTAGGACTTCAGGACACGTGTGACCAGTTTCAGCAATTCCTCCAGAATTGAGGGAAAGAAGAGAAACTGAGGTCCAAAGCAGGGCAGTCACCAGCCAGGGTCCCAAAGTGAGCAGTGAGGGAACACAGGAAGGCTGAAAAGCAGGGCTCCCGGGGGCTCTGTGCGCCCAGATCTAGCCGATGACTACCAGTTACCAGAAAAACTCAGCCAGCGTTTCCACAGTAAACACTTCCCCTCCACCCTGACTCAGCCTGGTGGCCGGTTGCACACATGCTCATTTCTCTCTTTCCTCCGCTGAGAGGCAAAGAAAGGGGCCTGCCTGCCCGCAGCCTGGGCTTCCCATCTTCAGGATGGGTTCCTGGGTATCTCGAGGCTCAGCCAGGATGACGTATGTGCCAGTTCATTGCCCCC